GACCCAAGGAAATGGCCACAAATTATGCCAGGGGAGATTTAGGAAAAACTTAGATATAAGGAAAAACTTCTATCAAAGAGTTGTTAGGTACTGGAATGGCCTGCTCGGGGAGGTGGAGGAGTCCCTGTCCATGGTGGTGCTCAGGAAGCATCTGAATGAGGTGCTATATGATACGGTTTAGTAGCTTAGTGGGTCGTAGTGGTGATAGGAGGATGGTTGGTCTAGATGATCTTGTAGGTCCTTTCAACCCTTGTAATTCTATGATTCACTAGCCTCTTCCTTGTAGCTAATGTGCTTATGGGACTGTTAAGGCAGTAGCAGCAGCACGTGCTGTTTTTTATCTCTTGGTGTTCTGCTTCTGGATTGTGCAGTGGACTTTGGGTGGAAATCAGAGGCCTAGTGGTTCTGGTTCAGTGTTATTTTTTTTGTTGTTGCTTTTTTTTTTTTTTTACAGTGTTCTTAAATCAATTACTAACAGAGCCGTCTTTAAAGTCAGTCTCTTTCCCCTGGTCACAGCCAGCCTGTCTCCCTGAGAATGTCAGCAATCAGGAATAGTAACATCAGGTGTTAATTTAAAGCAGATGTTGTTGCAGCACGTCTTGAATGCTGTTTGTGCTAACATCATTGTGGAGAGTAGAGGCTAATGTCATGTGATCCTTGCTGGCTGCCTCTACAGAACTATCAAGAGGCTTTGCGCTACATTGGAAAACTGCCTTTTGATCAAGCAGAGAGTAACATGAAGCGATATGGTAAAATCCTGATGCACCATGTCCCTAAAGAGACAACAGAACTATTGAAGAACCTTTGCACTGATTACCAGCCATCAGGAAACAGTGAAGGCCCTGGGATTCTGGAAGGAAAAAAGGTATAGTTTGCTTTGACTGAGAGGTATTGCTTAGTAACAGAAACTTTGCAGTGAGTGCTCCTGCATGCTTGACATTCTGGGCATAATGAGGGGCCACATTCTAGCGTATTGGTAGTCCTAGTGATGAAACTCTCTAAGGTTAATGCTCAGAACTGATCACTGAAGTAATTGTATCATGATGTATCTGTTGTGGGTCATTCTGGGAGCGAGCTGTACAAATTTTAGGGAAGAAGCATCTGTCTGGCTGTGACTGGATGGGTGGTCAAGTTTTTTTATGGTTATTTTGCAGGCAAATTCTGAGGAGTTCATTCCAGTCTTTGCAAACAACTCCCGAGAACTGAAGGCTTTTCTGGAGCACATGACTGAGGTGCAGTCTGACTCTCCACAGGGTGTCTATGACACTTTATTGGAACTTCGTCTCCAGAATTGGGCACATGAAGTAGATAAGCAGGTTTGATCTTTGGTTTTCTATTTTGAGATAAAGCTTTGGTGTTTGGGAATTCTGTTTGCATTCCTGCCAACTCCATAACCTCTCCAGATAGGCATTGTTAAATGTAAGGCAATTTGTATGTTGTACTGGACAAATGGGAATGCAGTCTACTAGCTAAGAGAATACTTATTTCAGTGAGGCAAGCATGTTTTGTATGAGTACAGATTCCAGACAATGCAATCTTTGTGGGTAAATGTCTTTTTCATGAAATTGGATATGCTTGCCTTAATCTTTGAAGGTGCTGGCTGTTTGGGTAAAAGAAATTGTCTTTATTGCTTAAAAGGGGTAAAGAGCAAACATCAGAACTTTGCTTCAGTCTAGAAAAGCTGCAAATTGTTTTCAGATATTGGTGCAAAACTATTCTGTTTCTTCTCCCCTGCCATTCCATCCCTGTTTTTCATAGATCAAGGAGAAGCTGCACGATGAAGCGCTCACTCTCCTGAAGAGTGGAAGGTTCAAAACAGTCTTTGATAAGGCCTTGGTCTTATGTCAGATGCACAATTTCAAGGATGGTGTTCTCTACCTCTATGAGCAGGGCAAACTGTGAGTATTGCTTTTCTCCCCAGAGTCCTGTTGCTTGCCCCATCTCATGGATTTCTGAGCCATAAATGCCCCTGCCCTACAATGGTAAGGACCTCTTGAGTATCGCAGGACAGGAACTGCGTACATCATTGCTCAGCAGAAAATATCCTTCTTTTGGAGCGGGACAGTGATATAGAGAATGGATAGCAGACCAGTCTTGGCTTCTGTGGGAATGTTTGGGCATTCTGTGGCTGAGTGGAAATATGAGGCCCCTACAACCTTTCAAAAGGTAGATTTTTTCTAATTGACATGTTGCTTTTTTCTCTAGTTTCCAACAGATCATGCATTACCACATGCAGAATGAGCAGTACAAGAAAGTGATTGAGGTGTGTGAGTTGTACGGGGACCAAGAGGCTTGTCTTTGGGAACAGGCTCTTGGCTACTTTGCACGGAAGGAGGAAGACTGCAAGGAGTATATTGCTGCGGTGCTGAAACACATAGAGAACAAGAATCTTATGCCTCCACTTCTTGGTAATAATGACATGTGGCCTAAAGTTGGGGAAACAAACAAACAAAAAAGGCTTATGGCATCTGTAGACTAAGAATGTGAGAGAAGGATCAATGAAGCTTGAGCCCACCAATTGAAATAATAATCTGCTGTAGAGGAAAAAGTGATGCCAGTGGCAGCTTCGCAGTCTGGAGAAGAAAGATCTGCCGTATCAGTTGTCTGTGTTATTTCTGTTCTGACAGTGTGGAGAAGTGAAGGGCATCCTAAGCTCTTTCTGTGGATTGGTGGAGAAGTTGAAATAGAATTCAGTCCACTAGATTCTTCCTTTGCCATTTTGGTCTGGGCTATTTAAGTGTGCTCCCAGTCATGGCTTTGGAGGTTGGAGCCCTGTAGAGACCAAGCTGAAATTGCATCTTTAAATAAGTTTTCTAATTCAGTAGGAGTGTGGAATGTTTTTTTGCCTGTTGGTTTCCTTTTAATGGAAAGTAGTTTGTCAAGTTGTGACCAGTGCAGTGGCAATTTTTTTCACGTGGGTTTAAACTAATGTTGAGTTATCCTCAGTTGTGCAGACGCTGGCTCACAACTCCACAGCTACATTGTCTGTGATTAAGGATTATCTTGTCAACAAGCTGCAGAAGCAGAGCTGCCAGATAGAGCAAGATGGGCAGAGAATTCAAAAATACCGAGATGAAACTACAAGGATCCGTCAGGAGATTGAAGAGCTAAAAGCAAGGTGCAGGACTGTGATGTCTTGTCTTATACTGGAATATTATTTTCTAACTAAAGAAAAATACACTTTTATTTTTGCCCTTCTGCTTCCTGTCACTGTTTCAGTCCCAAGATCTTTCAGAAGACCAAGTGTAGCATTTGCACCAGTGCCCTGGAGCTGCCCTCAGTCCATTTCCTGTGTGGTCATTCCTTCCACCAGCACTGCTTTGAAAGCTACTCTGAGAGTGATTCAGAATGTCCTACTTGCATGCCTGAAAATCGCAAAGTGATGGACATGATCCGAGCCCAGGAGCAGAAGAGAGATCTGCATGATCAGTTTCAGCATCAGGTATGGTAATGTTGCCCTGTGGGTTTGTGTTTTTTTAAGTTTAGACTGCTTTTGCAGACAGACACCCCTCTCCCCCCCAGGGGCTGTTAGAGAAAGATAAGTAGATTCATGGAGCTAGAGTGACTGGAGGTAGAGTCCTGGTGAGCAGAACTAGGGAAGTCGTTCCTGCCCCTGTACTTGGCACTGGTGAGGCCCCACCTCTAGTACTGTGTTCAGTTTTGCGCACCTCAGTACAGAAGGGACATTGAGATGCTGGAGCAGGTCCAAAGAAGGGCAACAAGGCTAGTGAAGGAACTGGGGCTGTTGAGTCTGGGGAAGAGGAGGCTGAGGGGAGATCTAATTGATCTCTTCCAATATCTGAAAAGTGCTTACAGTGATAACAGGGCTGGTCTCTTCTCACTGGTGACAGGACGAGGAGAAATGGCCTCAAGTTGTGCCAGGGGAAGTTTAGGCTGGATATCAGGATAACTTCTTTACTGAAAGGGTTGTTAAGCACTGGAATGGGCTGCCCAGGGAGGTGGTTGAATCGCCATCCCTGAATGTGTTTAAAAACGGTTTGGATGTGGTGCTCAGAGGCATGATTTAGCGGAGGGTAGTTAGAGTTGGGGTTGTATGGTTAGGTTGCATAGGTCTTTAAGGTCTTTTCCAACCTGAGCAATTCTATGATTCAACTGGAGCTGGAGTAGAGAGAATCCTTGATGTTCTGCAAACACAAAAGATAAACCAGTGCAACTAAGGTAGTAGCTTTCATGCTCAAGATAACTATCTCAGTGGCAGAAAAGCTTGCTGTATGTGGCATTTGCATGAAATAGCACATTTGTGGTTTTAAACTGCTATATCTCTAATATGGGGCTGTAAGTGAAAGGACAAAAGGATATGTTCTGGAGGCAGGGGCCTCTGACCAGGTCCTGATGGCGTTGCTTTGTGTCTTGCAGCTTAAGTGCTCCAATGATGGCTTTTCCGTCGTCGCTGATTACTTTGGTCGAGGCGTTTTTAATAAGCTCACCCTCATCACAGATTTGCCTTTGGGAAAGTCAGCTACGACCATTGAGGCTGGCCTCCAGAGGGAGCTGCTGATGCACACTAAGCGTAGTACCTGAGCTGGGGACTCCCGTTGCACCGTGCGCCTTCTCGGGTTGTACGGGTTACGGCGTGGGCGCGCGCTTCGCCCCCACATCTTTCGCTCTCCAATAATAAATGAAACCGAGTCGGCTTTACGCCGGAGTGTGCGAAGTGCAGCGCGGGGAACGGCGGGCGCCGCTGAAGGGCGGGGCTGGGGCTCCGTCACGTGGACGGCCCCGACGGACGTGACGCGTCAGAGGGGCGGGGCGGGGCCGGGCCATGGGGCGCCCCGGGAAGAGGTGAAGGCGGAGCGGCGCCATGGCGGAGGTGCGCCCGGCTGCGGTGAGTCGGGGGGGGATCCAGCGGGGCGGGAGGGCGCGCGGCCAGCTGCGGGGCCGCTAACAACACTTCGTTGGTGCAGGGCGAGAACGGCATTGGCAACAGGGCGATCCGCGTGGGTACCCGCCGGAGCCAGGTAGGCGGTGGCGAGCTGGGGGTGCGGGGAGCCCGAGGTAGCCCTGGACAGCTCTGCATGGCATTGGATGATTTCGATTCTCCGGGTCCCGGCAGCTTTCCTGCTCGAAAAGCAAGCGAGAGCAACGTCCGTGCTCGCCAGGGAGGCGAGCCCCGAGTCGGGACTCAGCCTGACTCAGGAGGTGCTGCTGCTCTCCTGCCCGAAATTTGCAGGGAAGAGCAGAGCTCCCTCCTCGGAGCTCTGCGCTCGGGAGCGGCGGCTGGGAGGGTTCAGCCGTTCTGGGTCGTTTGTCGAGAACGCGAGAAAAAACTAGTAAACGCTTTTCTCGTCGGGGCCGTTTGCTCTCATTAGTGCTCCTTTCGTGCGATTTGCGGAATTAACGTGGCACCTTCTAGGATAACGGGTATCTTTCTGTTTATTGAATTGCAAGGCTGGCGCGGCTCTTACGGAGAGATGAGGCGGGACCCGCCCCAAACACTCCAGCCCTCCCAAAGGCCAGGGGAAGAACGTGTCCAGAGATACAGTGGGTATCTCTTGCCATCCTGTTGCAGTAAGGGAGGAGCTGACTCGCAGAAGATAACCGTCCTTCAGGCCTTTGTTCTGCGATAAACTCGTTCGTTCTGGTAGCGAGGTTTAAGAAAGATTCAGTACTTCAAAGAGAGAGAGAAAGCATTACATGTGGGTGTCAGAGTATAGATCATAAGCTCCACACATGCTACTACTTTTTCTAACCTGAGGTTGCAGTGGGAAGCCACAGGCTATGCTCATTTTATATGTAGGGAAACTAGAGTCTTGAGAATAAAATTAGTTGCCCCAGGCTATGTAGCTCATTACCAGGAAAGAAGCTAAAACACGGTAGTTAGAGGTGCTTGCTTGATCCTTCTGCTGTTTTTTATTTTGCTTGCCTCTGCCTTTTTTTTTTTTCTTTACTGCCTTAAGATCTGGTGCGTGCTGTTTGTGCAGACCTCACCTGGTACTTTTTTGTCTGTAGAATTTCTGAATAGCATTTTGATCCTATCAAGGCTAAATAATTGGTATTTGCCAGTATCTGTAGGACTTTTACAGGCAAAGCAAAATCATACTGGCTCCAAAAAAAACTAACATGCAACATCGACAAAATTTGTGGTTTTAGAAAAAGCAGGAGTTAGTTTCTGTGATATGACTTTTCCTTTCTTCAGTGAGTGACAGGCTTTTCTTGCCTTTCTGTTTGCTTACCAGTAAACAACTATGTTTCAGCAGTGGCATTACGTAAAGGTGAAACGCCTTAAGGTTAGTTAGGTAAACGCTGTGAACATATAAGGTTGCCTCTGAGAAATGAAACTTCTGCCTAGGGGACAGCTAGTGATCTTAGGGCAGCTGGAAGCAGCGTGTGTGAATCCTAACACGTTTTTGCTTCAGCTGTTCTTCCTAGCTCAATATATTGTTTTGACTCGTTATTGCTTGGATCACAACAGTGCTGGATATGGGGAGAGGTTATTCTGTTGCTTAGATTTAAAAAAGTTCTGTGAAATGTTCTGGTCACTTTATAGGCTCAAAAGATTTATATACGTGAGCTATTGTATTTGGAGCTGCTTCTCTCTGATGCTTACAACTTAGAGAATGTAGTAGTCACACCTGCAGGGCTATCAATGAATGAATGACAAAGTCCTCTTTAGCTACTGTGTAGCTCATATTCTTTTTGCGTAGTACTTTGTTTTCGGCTTTGTTGCAGCTGGCCCGGATTCAGACTGACAGTGTGGTTGAGATGCTCCGTGAGTTTTACCCTGACATCTGCTTTGAGATTGGTAAGTGGCGTTTTGTTTTTTTCCCTTCAGTTGCTGCTCTGGTGTAGGGTGGCAGCAGGAGCCAGGCAGTTATCTTTGTGTGCAAGATGTGTGAATAGGGTATTGTCGAGAGCAGGAGAATTGGCCCCATGTTATCTAAGAGAGCAGTCTGAATTCTATTAGGTTGCATAGCTGAGCAACTGCTGCCGGTATTTTCCAATGGAGAAGGATTGATTACACAAGCTCCTGTTGACTGGGGCCTGTATCTGTCATGCAGGTGATGTTATATTGCTCCATTTGAGAATCTGGGTAATGTCTTTAGAGCTGGCTGTTACCCAAACCTGTCCTCTTTCTCCTTTTGTGTTTTTGAGTCATAAAAGAAGTCTCTATTTCACTTACAACGTATTCTTAGAAGTGAGCTGCTCTTGAATCTGTCTTGAGTCTGTGTTTGTGCTGTGGTAGTGCGTATTGCTTTGCTTGTTACGTGTTAAGTAGATACCACCAGTCAATGTGCTCTGACTATGCCTATGGCTTTGTGTTCTCTGATCAGTTGCCATGTCTACAACTGGAGACAAGATCTTAGATACAGCACTGTCTAAGGTAAAGGATTTATTTCAGGTGGGAATTAATTAAAAAATATAGTACTCAAAAAAGTAATTGTATTTGATGGTATACTTGCGGATTTTCTTCTGTGATTTATCTCAGATTTCTTCATTTACATGTAGATTGGGGAGAAGAGCCTCTTTACCAAAGAGCTGGAAAACGCACTTGAAAGAAATGAGTAAGAGCTCAGTTTTATTATTTGTCTGGCATTTTTTTTTTAATTATTTATTTTTGATATGCTGTAAGTGTGATCTGGTTTCCTTCTTTCTGATTAAGGAAGAAATTCTCTGATACAACATGCTTTTTTTTCTTAAACTCCCTATCCTGAATTAGGCCATGTTTTGGAGTAATGGTGTTCAGATTCTTAGTCTGCCCTAGTTATTTTTGTTTTCTCCTCTGATTTGTATGTTACTTGTGCATCAGAGTGCGTAATCTAATTCATGCTTGCAAAGGTGTTCTTTATTTTACTACTTTGTTACTGTATTTCAGTATTCCGTGTTAGCATACTGCATAACATACTTACTGCTTTTTAGTGTGCTACGTGCTAAATATTCCAGTGAATTGTACATGAGCAAGTTGTACTGCTTTCTGGAGTAATTTCTTCCTACAGAGAAGTCAGATATATAGGGTTGGTGTTTTTTCTTAAATATCCTGAGTAGGGCTGTTGTGGTGCTTATGGCTTGATTAAAGTAAGTTTAAAAGCAAAGATATTTTCTGCATCTCTACTGTACACGTTTGATAATGCATTTTCCAGTAAAGTCAGAAAAAATACTGGAGGCTCAGTCATTTACAAGTCACTGCCCTTGTAGCAAAGTAGATGGCTTTGCTAGCTATTATTTTCACATTGAACCACGATACCAGCCAACATACTGGTTGCATACTGGTTCAGTGAGTCTCTGTGTCAATATTTCTAGTGTCTTACACTAATTCAGACTGGTTGTAATGTATTTTGTACTGCTACTGGGAGGAAGGCGTTATCTCAGATTAGAAAAGGCAGAGAAAAGTGAAGTGGCTCTTCAGAATTGCTTATGTTAGTCTAGTAGTAATTCTGGCTGAAGAGTTCTGAGCGTTCTTTCTCTTTTCTAAGCTAATCCCAAGAATTGGATCTGCACTTTCCTGTTGTTAACTGTGGGTCTCTGGCACAACGTGACCCAACATCTGTTCAGTGCTGTGATTACTGTTCTCTAATTCTTAGAGTTGACCTAGTAGTTCACTCCTTGAAGGACCTGCCAACTTCTCTTCCTCCTGGCTTTACCATCGGTGCCATTTGCAAGTAAGTATTTGCACAAAGCCTGACTGTCTGAGGGACTTAACGTTTTGCAGTGTGGATAATGGTAGAAAATGACAGCTTAGATCTTTGTTGTTTGACCTTTGATTATTCTCTGAAAGAGTGGGAGAACTAATGTTCTGTAGCCAGCAGATTTGTTGGAAATCCTTGCTGTTGAAAAGGAGAAGCTTTTTGGAGCTAGAGGATGGTTCCTTTGGGGAGTGATACCAGAACTGTTAATCTTAATAGCCTTCTGTTAAATGATGTCTGCCATTCTGCTCTTGCTTTTTTTTTTTTTTATACAGAAGAGAGAACCCACATGATGCTGTTGTCTTTCACCCCAAAAACTGTGGGAAAACACTCAGTCTTCTTCCTGAAAAGAGGTGAGTAGGGAGAAGGGGAAGTCAGTGAAGTGTAAAAAAAAAAAAAAAAATAGAAAGGAAGAGTTTGTTCATATTTCCCAGTGACAAATCAGTGAGCTGCTTCCCTTATCTTGTGGTGGTTTTTGCACTGCCTTCAGTTAGCTTTCAATGTACATTACAGTGAACCTACTTGCTGAAAAGAGCTGTGCTAATGAGAATGTTGTAAATTGACTTTGAATGTCTTTAGCCACCTTTGAGATGCAGTGTTTTCTCAAGTGAGACCCTTTCTTGCTTCAGTCTCCAGAGTGATTACAAGGTCCTTTATGTAGTGCTCATTACAGGAGGATGCATACAGTGCAGACACTGTCCAGACTAGCATTCTAGCTTGCATGTCGGTTCTCTCGTTCTCACTCAGCCAATTCAGATTTCTTTGTTGCTTTTTTATGCACACATTTTCTATAGCTCTACTAGGAGCATTACAAACTAGCTGTGTTAAGAATGTGAACTTGCATTTCTTCTAATTAGCATGGGAATCATCTGTGTTAGGTTCCAGGTTATAAAAAAGAGTGAACAGGTAGCTCTAGAAAATAAATGGTTACTGCCCAGATGGGCAGCTTTCTTTGCTGTCCAGTTACATGACTTGTTTTTGAAGGTTCTGCTCCCGTTGCATTTTTGTAATTGAAGAATTTCCCATGTTTTGTGATGCCTGACTAATTTATATCTCAATTTGGAGCAACTAAGCCTGCTTTTTTTGTAACAATTTTTTTTGGTCATATTGCCACCAAGGAAGCTGGATGGGAAGGTGTGCTCTTTAAATCAGTAGCAGCTGTATTCCAGAAGCATTCCCTCTGATTTGCTCTCTGGCAGTGATTTGCCTGCATCTCGTTTCAATGAGATCTTATGTTAAACCTTAACAAGTACTTTCACTTCTTCCAAGGTGGCATAAATCACTGGTAGGTTCTTGAAACTTTGTTTCTATCCTAGTGGGGATGGGGGTGCGGAAATCTTCCTTGAAACTTCTGATGTATATTCAGGTGGAGCTGAGTACTGTTGTATGCTGAATGTCATTGGTCTAATTTTTCCGAACAGTGTTATTGGAACTAGTTCACTTCGGCGAGCAGCCCAGCTCAAAAAGAAGTTCCCTCAGCTTGAATTCAGGGATATTGTATCCTTTTGTGGCAAAATGCAGAATCTGGACAAAGTTGCAGAAAGGATTATGTAAGTTGACACAAAGTCTAGAGTCAAGGCTGATATACACTACCTGATCTGCAGGAACAACTTCCTCAAAGGCTGCTTCCTGTAACCTATTCTGTAGTGCATTTTGTCCTGTTGTTTTCTCATGATTCTATAAAGAAAGGGCCTGTGGTGCATTTCATATTTGGCTGCTTAGTGGAGGTCTATCTTAAGATTGTCACAGTGATAGCCAACTGTTGATCAGTCCATGATACCTTTAATGTGTTTTGGGCTGCTAGTTTAGATGTGTACCACTGAAGTGGTGGTAAAACACATTATTACCTCAGTCCCAGTAACCCGGTTCAATGATCTGCAGAATTATTTGATGTCAGATACATGCCATTTAAGTGCATCATTTGAATCTTTTGAGAGTGCATGCTTGGATTAATATTTCATAACAATCAGCGGAATTCTATTCAAATAAACGATTGCCCATGTTTAGCACTTCTTTCAGATTGATACCCTGACTGATTCTTATTTGGAGGCTTTTAAACAGTCGAGTGAATGCTAAGTGATTGTACGACTGTCTGCATACTGTTTCTCTGCTTGCTTAACCGCTTGTACAGAGAGGAAACTTAAACACCCGCTTGAAGAAGCTAGATGAGAAGGAAGACTTCAGTGCTATAATCCTGGCTGCTGCCGGACTGAAGAGAATGGGCTGGGAGAATCGCATTGGTCAGGTGAGTGTCAAAGTAAAAAATCCCATTTTCTTCTAGGCCATTCCCTGCTTGATTTTCAGACCTTGTAATTGTCCCATCAAAGATGCACACGCAGTCTACTGAATCCATTGCCATGTTAGCTTAAGATCTTATCTGCTTCAGGAAGGCTTTAATTTTACTTGTATACAAAAAGAAACAATTACAAAATACAATACTTTTCGTGTTGCAGGAACAGTTTGTAATATGGTAACCTTACAGCATTTCATGTGTGCAGCAAAACAGTGCATGTCTAAGACTTTTTCTGATTAACTAATGAATAAAATATTACTGTCAAGGTGAGGAATAGTACCTTATCCTACTTTTGGGATGGAAACGCTGAGGCATGGGAAGGGGGAAGCAATATTTCCCTTGGGCACAAGTGTGGTGCTAGAAGTCTGCATGGAGTTCAGTTCTTGCTTTGTATATTCTAAAAAGTGCAACATGACTTTGTTTTTACTTTCTTCCAGCTCCTGAGCCCTGAAGATTGTCTGTATGCTGTGGGGCAGGTACGTTACAATTTTTCTACCTTAGGCCTGACTGCATATGGAAAGCCAGCAGCAGTGTGATGTGTCAGGTGGTTAACTGTGGCAACCAAATACTTCTGATGTATTTATTGCCAAAGAAGAATTACAGTGATCTCTGTTGCAGCCTCTTAGTCTTATGTTCAGTGTGTGTGAAGAACATTAAGTGAGCTCCATGAGTCTGTGTAGTGGGGTTTGACAACTCTGCAAGTATGAGGCAGGGCTAGTGTTGTGCTGTGCTGGGCTAACTGTACAAAGCCAGTGCAGTATCAGTGCTGTGGCACTCCCTTACGTACAATGTCCTGACTCTCTGGCTGTGTGGAGCTGAAACATCTGCCTTGGGGCATGTTGTTAGCATTCTTGTTTCTATGCAAATTGTTCCAGCCCCTGCTGGTCATGTGGCTGAATTTATACAGTGTTGCATAGTTGGTATCAAATTTGTGAAACCTGAGCTGGCTATGCATTTTGTAGAGCAATCATTGTTGTAATGTAATGCAGTTATTTCCCAGTCTGGATGAATTCCTGGTTGATGAACAGCTGTTGCTGTTACTTACAGGTTGGAAACAGTGAACAGTGATGGCTTGAAAGTTATCTCATGACAGTACTGAAAGTAGTCACCCAGATGAAAATGAAAAATGAGCCAGAAATAGTGTTTTTTTTTTTTAATCATGTCTTTGTCATGTACTATGCTTACTTTTTTTCCGGTCTTGTTTTCCATTTGGAAAAGAATTGGTTTGTGATTGCTGTTATCTTCAGACAAGGTTATGGAACTTACATTTATCCAACTTTCTTATGCTGTTGTGACAGCAGAGCAGATGTTTGCATATATGTAATCAGAAGAGGGGTATGGTCTGAAGTTGAGCTAAGGAAAAGATGTCAGGTGAATATGATCTTCAGTACTTGTCTAAGTAAGTTCTGAGCTGGATGTCTTGCAACCATTTGAATAATTTCTGTAAAATCTGTGTGCTTAAATACTGCTCCCTGAATGAAGCACATCCAAACTTCTGAGTTGTGTTTCATGACCAATGTTGAGTGCACACAGACACTTAAGCTGAGGAGTTCTGTTATTATTGTTGTCTTACAGGGGGCTTTAGCGGTGGAGGTTCGTGCCAAAGACCAAGAAACGCTGAATATGGTATCTGTCCTGCATGATGGAGAAACTGTATTATGCTGCATTGCTGAGAGGGCTTTCATGAAACATTTGGTACGTGTGTTATCCTTGCCCTTCTGCTTGCAGCAACAAATACTGCTCTGCTGTAGTTAAACGGATGACGTGGTGTGGGAAGACTGTTATACTTGCTAAGTAGGGAGAACTTGTGAACTGGGAAGTGCCTGAACAGCAATAGGTGGAACTGTGTGCAGCATATACTTTTCAGAAACCTCTGCTTTGAATGCACTGGGAGGAAACTCAATAGCATCATCATTCTGTTTTCAGGAGGGTGGCTGTAGTGTCCCTGTTGCAGTTAACACCATGCTGAAAGATGGCCAGGTGAGGAATATTTTGTATATATCTGGGATTACTTATGAAAAACTGTTCCAGTGTGCATGTTCTCTGAGGTTCAGTTCAGCAGACGTCTTCACAGCTGAGTAAGGCAGATAAGGGTTATTGTCCAAATCAGGAGTATGAGAAAGAGAGAAAAGAAAAAAAAAAAAAAAGAAAGAGAAAGGAAAAATAAACTAATTAATTGAAAGCCCTGAATGTGGAGCACCTGAAAGAATTGGGGGCTGAAATTTAAAGCATAAAACAAAAATTGGGGAGAGAATACTTTAGGTTATTTCTGGTTACAGAAGCTGAGTCCTAGAAAACACCCTTATTGTGATAATTAGATTTTTTTTTCACCCTCTCTTTCTAAAGTGTTGCCCTGGGATCTCAAAGTCTGCCTTTTGACTTTGGAAAATCAGTGCATTTATACAACAGATTATGAATTAAGTAGATAGAAAGCTAGGAAGTATTTGGTTTCTTTCTTGGGAAGATGCATCTTGCCTAACCAATGTGTGCAAGAACTTCTTTACAGTGAGGGTGATGGAGCACTGGAACAGGCTGCCCAGGGAGGTTGTGGAGTCTCCTTCTCTGGAGATATTCAAGACCTGCCTGGATGCCTACCTGTGCGACCTGGTGTAGGGAGCCTGCTTTGGCAGGGGGGTTGGACTCGATCTCTGGAGGTCCCTTCCAACCCCTATGATTCTGTGATTCTGTGATTATTTACATCATTGTTGTATCAGACTGGCATTCTGATTAGATTAACTGCAAAAGTGTTGCTGTCTAGGTTGGTTTTTTGGTAATAACCCTTTCTGTCTTTCAAAGTTGTATTTGACAGGTGCAGTCTACAGTTTGGATGGATCTGATAGCCTGAAGGAAACAATGCAGACCAGTGTTAATTATCCACAACGGGTATGCAAACCATGTTGGACACAAAATTCAAACCTGTAGAGGTGGGAGGGAGCCTCCTTTGCTGGAGATATTTGAAACCTGCCTGGACGGTCTCCTGTTCAATCTCCTCTAGGGAACCTGCTTTCAGGGGAGTTAGACTGGTTAATCTCCAGAGGTTCCTTATAGCCCCTATGATTCTCTCTCAATTCTGCAATATCTGGTTTCACACACAGATTATTTTAATGCCCACTCCTTCCCACAGCCTTACACTGATGTGTTTATTCTTGCAGAATGAAGATGGACCAAATGATGATGTGCAGCATGTTGGCATCACAGCCAAGAACATCCCTGGTCAGGCCCAGGAAGCTGCAGAGAACCTTGGTATTGAACTAGCTAATTTACTTCTGAGCAAGGGAGCTAAGCACATCCTTCGTGTGGCAAGGCAGCTGAATGATGCCTGCTAAGCCTCTAGTGAGATCAGCAAGATTGTTACAACTCTTGCTCCAGTCTTCGCAGCTATTCTATCAGCTATTTGAGGAAGAGTTCTTGTTTTTAACATTTGCACCAGCCTTGTCTGACATTTGGGCATAAAATACTTGAAATACCTAACTAACTTGGAGTTATTCTTATCGAAGTTTACCTAAGTTGCAAAGTCTCTCTGAAACTTGTTTAAAAGCTTTTGTTGTTAGGACAGATGTAGTAGTAATTGTTCTCCTATCACGTCTGGTAACAAAGCAACGAATACAGATTATAGTCAAACCAAACAGTGGCAGTACTGAAGTACTGCACTGTGCTGACAATACGGAAGTGTTTTCTGTAGTCACTAAACTTGGGAAATTGCAGATTATTTGGGCCTGTTATTTTCAGAAATGCTGAAGGAGATTAGCATTAGGTTCCCAATGCATTCTTCATGGGGTATTTACCACAGATGCTATATTCGTAAATTTTGGCTACGGGGTTACTTTAAGTTACTAAATTCAACTTTGTTACTTGTTCATAGTGAACTATGAGGCAGTTGGTAAGCCAACTTATCCCACATAGATGTAGTATGAGGATAGGCATTGATATACAGTAACTGGTAACCTTTGAGCTGTAGAGTAAGAAATTTGCCTTTTCCTCTAGGCTGTGAGCTATTTCCCTGTAGTTCATGGCTGAACTGTTGTGTTGCACTATCATGTTGCAGTGCCTTAAGGAAACATCAAAATAACCTATTATGGGGGTTCCAGTTATGGAGATGAAGCATTGTTTATTTTCTGTGCAACGTATGCTGAATTTAACAGCAGAGAAACAGTCACATTATAAGCACCCAAGAGTAAGTCTTTTCGGAGAACGTCACCTATGTACAGTTTCTGTGACTGAACTCGAGCAGCCATGCCGGCTGCTGGTGCTTTCTGCCTGCTCCGCAGCGCGGCCTAGCGCTTGCTCCTCGTAGTTGGCCTTCGGGCGTGGAGCTGCACCGCCCTGGGCCCTACGCCGGGATATGGACGCAGCCCCCGCCTCTCCCCTCTCCCGCGGATCGCAGCTCTCCCAGTGAGCAATGGAGTGGCCCTGAAAAGGGCCTTTGTGTGGTGCTTGGGGGGGGGGGGGGGGGGGGGGGGGGGGGGGGGGGGGGGGGGGGGAAAGGGGGGTAGGAAGGGGAAGAGCCCGGCCTAGTACTCCTGCGACTGCTGCCCGCCGCCCTTCTTGCCGGCTTTGGCCGGGCTCGCGGCGCTGCCACCCGTCTTCTTGGGCAGCAGCACGGCCTGGATGTTGGGCAGGACACCGCCTTGCGCGATGGTGACACCGCCCAGCAGCTTGTTGAGCTCCTCGTCGTTGCGCACCGCCAGCTGCAGGTGGCGGGGGATGATGCGCGTCTTCTTGTTGTCGCGGGCCGCGTTGCCCGCCAGCTCCAGAATCTCGGCCGTCAGGTACTCCAGCACGGCCGCCAGATAAACGGGTGCACCAGCGCCCACCCGCTCCGCGTAATGTCCGCGCCGCAGCAGCCGGTGAACACGCCCAACGGGAAACTGCAGCCCGGCCCGGGAAGAACGAGACTTGGCCTTCGCTCGGGCCTTACCGCCACTCTTGCCTCGGCCAGACATGGCACCTCACAGCGGACCGAGCACCACGCCGAAACCTCAGGAGCTCTGCGGCGGGACGAAGGGAGGACGTCTCCACCCCGTCTCTTTATAACCTCCCGCACAGTAAGGCCCCGCTCATTGGATAGCACCATGGCGCCTCGCTATTGGGTCTCTGCCGAATGAACCTCCTCGCTGATTGGCCGCTTTTGCGCCCACCCCACTCCTTCGCGCTTACCTCCTATCGATTGGCGACGGCGACGGACCAATCAGAAGACAAGGCGCCAAATTCGTACCACGCGGAAGCCGTTGGCGCTCGCAGCCGGGTACGCTAAGATGGGGGCGGTGCGGCGCCGGCCGGGTCCGGGGTCCGACTCGCCGGCGGAACTCGGCGGTGTGCTGGCAGGGGGCGTGGCTCGGCTCAGCAGCGGCGCTTCGGATAGCTGTCTGGAGTTACACTGTCAGCAGGCAATTCTATGGTGAACTACGGTGCCGGATAATGCTATATAATTAAGAATTCGGACGAAAAAGAATTAATTGTAACCCGCAAATATAAGTGGTTCTTATCGATGCTTTGTGTTATAAAAGGATGCTGTGATCTGTACTCTGCTAGCTAGTCCCAGCGGTGTTCTGATCTGTGAAGAACATAAATGCTGAAGATACTCAGAAAAAAAAACTCGGGGAATCTGCTGCAGAAATTACTGGCATTGAGCGGGGCAGGAAGGCACAGCACTGTACTGTGCAACCTTGTTTCACTGCACATCAACGTTCTTAACACAGAGAGCTGAAGGTGAAAGGGTATCTCGTGTTATTTTATTCTCAGAATGCTCTGAGTCACGGGTATGATTTATAACGTATTATTCTACATCCATGGATAAACCTGAATTAGCCAAGAGGGCATTCTGGTTCACCTGTTCCGCTGTACAGTCTCACAGAAATTGTACTTCTTATTTCTTCTCTCAAGGAACAGTTTCTTAAATTTCAATTTCATTTCTCCTGCTTTCCCTAAACACTCTGTGTAAAGATTTGTGTTGCTTATTTCCCGTCTGAAAGGTATTCTCAGTAGCAAGGATGTCCAAGTAGAGTCGACTGTTTTCTGTCAGCAGAATTAGATGTAAGAGCTCTGTCTACAAACAGAGAATTGTGATTCTAGGCTGGCTTTGAGTAGTTTCTTGCATTCTGAAAGGTGGCTTGGAGTTTTCAGAGGACCAGAATAAGAGTGAATTTTTTGGTCAGCAATTGAATAAAGTTCACTGGAAGGTGCAGCTCCTGGCAGTTCGGTCAGACATCATAAAATAAGCGCACTAGCTGGTATCGGATTGAAAATGCAATCATGCTGCCCAGGACCTAAGTTTAAAAACAAACAGACAAAAACAACAACAAAACAAAACAAAAAAACAACAACAACCAACCTGAAGCTGAAACCTTACAACATCAGACAATTCACTAGCTAGCAGGTTCTTCTTTTCCATGGGGATTTGATGTGCTTTAAAACACGGTCTGCTCACTATATAGCACTTAAAGTTTTTAGGTATAGAAGAAATGAAAAGCATAAATTTAGCCAAAGTTCTTGGCTCATTCAATCAAAATTGTACTTATCTGCGAGGGATTTTTATGCCTGTTTATGCAAGTTTATCTTGTGAGTGCAAGATGAAAAAATGGCAAAAGCACTTCTTAAGACACCTAAATTATAATGAAAACTATATGATCTGTAATGGAAAATAACTTGTCAAGCTACAATTTGGCATCCTTTCATAGCAAAGACTTCTCTGCCATGGCCTCGCTCAAGATCAAGCTGTATGTACTTCCCATTCCCTCCTGCCCCAGATGTATTTGGCCTAAACCTTGTTCTCTTTGTTGGAAGTCTTCTGCTGGAATAGGAATTTAAGTGTTGTTTTGTCTTTCCTAAGGAGGAACTCTTATCTTTGAGCTGACGTTGAAGAAGGAATTGCACTCAATTGAGCAGTGTCTTTTCTGAAACAGAACGTCTACTATAACAGGTAAGAGAGTTCATGCGTTGAATAGAAGTAGCAGCAGTATCTGCAAGGCATGTTCTCCTTGCATTCTAAGTTTCTTCAAAATGTTCCCACACCACGCTCAGGCTCCAGCTACCACTGAGTTACATGCCACATTTATCTAAGGGCACCAGCTGGAGATAACACTCATACTAGTGTTATTTGGTATGACTGAAAAACAGAACTGCGATAAAAGGCTGTATTAGGTTAGAGTGACAAGGCAAGAACATAGTGCTGTTTTTCTTACTGTTCTTCTAGCATCCAGCAACTCATGCTCTGAGGAGCTTCTCAAGCTAATCTAGGGACTTAAAATTTAATAGCTTTTAGTGAATGATGCTGGGGACTGAGAGGAAGGACAGCTTCTTCCTGAAGCTGTGTAAAGCACAGATTCTCAAGTTGCACAACTTTAATTGCATCTTGCATAAAAAGTGTGATGCTTCTCGTCCCCCTTTCCTCTTGATATTCTTGAGACAAATCTGGATCTACTTCTATCACAGAATACATTTCTCTGCTAGCAGGAACATTTGTCTGACCTGAATGAGTAGCAACAGGAGAGTGAGATTTCGTTCATGGATGGGTCCAATCAGCTTTATAACAAAGTTAATTAGCGTCATATTATTGCACTCGGAGTATTCACCATCTTCATCCATTCCACTCCTCACGTCTACTATGTGCAAGATCTTTACTACCTGGGGAAAAAAATAGTGCATGCTATTTCATCAGGTATGTTTGGTACTTCCTGTTAGATCCAATTTGCTGTATCCCAGTAGTTTGGCTTGTGCTCTTACTAAAGAGACATGATAGGCTTCTGATGGTCTTGGGACAACTGCTGTGTGTGGTTATTTTAAAAGAGCAATTTTTAATGTAGTTAATGCATTGACTGCAAGAGACAGTGACTGAGCTAAGCAGAATGCGTTCTTCTTGATTTGAGCCAAGAAATAACCACTGAGCCCAGTAGTTCTGCCTTCCCTCCCATCCTGCTGCTCATGCATTTAATTCCTGCCTCAAAACATGCCTGTTATTTGAATCTTTTCTTGCTATTACCTTCAGAATGTATGTTCCCAGGGTTGAGAGGCTGTTAGTTTTGAATTTGGAGTAGCTCATCTCCAACTTCCCTGTTGTAGGATTGAGCCTAAAAGGAACGTTGAAGTCTTAGTCTGGGCAGAGCAAGGAGACAGTGATCCCTACATAAGTAGATTTATATCTCAAGCCAAGTTGCTGAGAAAGAAATATACTGGCGAAAAAAATGAAAATATTCTGATATTGTATAGCAGCAGCTGCTTGTACCTTGGTCCCTCAGATTTGGGCAGTCAATAAAATATTCCTCCCCACTTCGACCTAACAAGTGCATAAAGCTGCAAGGTTAGAAGAACTGAATATATGTAGACGTGATTACAATCAGTGACAATACAAAGTGCTGCAGAATGCTTGCTACAGTAAGATCTTAATCCTAGTGCAACAGCAGTAAGAACGGCCTGTACCCATTTATCTCAGTCTTGTAGCTGAGAATAATCCTATTCATATGTAGTAGTAGTCTTTCCTAGTACATTTCTTTGAGAAACTTGTGCTGATTGACTCAACCATAAATAACGTGACTGGCCAACTATCCAATCTACTTTGATAGGTATTAAAAAGAGCACCAACCAACGTATGTTATTGTTTCTCAGCTGGTAGTGGAGACAAAGGCATAAACTGGTACCGTTATAGGTCACTCGGGTACATTACCTTGGCAGTCGGTGGCGGGGACAAGGAATAATGTGGAAGAGTTGAGGCAATGAGTAGAGGAAGTTAAGCACTTGTGGGATGAAAAAAAGAAGCATTGTTTTACTGAAGTGACCCAGGATTCCCACCACAGCAAAGGTCATGCCAGCAAAGTAACAGAAGGTGTCCCCAACAAACACTTGGGAAGGATACCTGCAATCCACAAGGCAAAGGAGAAAAGGTCTGTCATAATCAGTGTTGCCAATATAATGACTTCATAACTACCTGAAGGCATTCCCTAATGGCAAGGTTGGTGCATAAAAGATATCAGTGGATTGCTGCTTTGCGTTTTTAGTTCTAGCAAGAAGCCTGTCTATACTCCAGTATATCACTTACTTGTTGAGAAACGTTTTTGTTTGCAAAGGGAAAAAGAATATGCTTCCAAAGAAATGCTGAATGCCCATTCTCTTACCAGTTGTGGTAAAACAGCCCCAGCGTTGTAAAAAAAAATGGAATCATAAAGTAGAGAGAGAAAATGTGATCATCCTGATAATCCCCTACAGGAAAAAAAAAAAAAAAAAAATGAGGTTCTAATAAAACAGGACTTGGTTATTTTTAACTACACTGACTACTGAAATCTAAGTTTCTATTTCCCTTTGCTTTTTGCACTCCCATGCATTACCTTACCGTTTAACTCTACAAGGTTGAATGCGATAATGGAAGCAGCAATCACCAGAGACTGCCCTGCTTCAATCCCATTGATTCCAGCGAGAATGTTGATAGCATTAGTACAAAACACTGCTAGCATGCCCATGTATGCATAGTAGAGAATACCTGCAGGTCAGAATGAGGCAAATACTTTAGCATTCATATTTAAAACAGGCAGTGATCCAATTTACTGAAATTCTAGTTTCCTGTTTTGTAGGACAATTCATTATATAGTGTCTCAGTACCATTCTGAAATGAGTAGTGTACTAACAAACAGTTCCTTTTCCTGTAAATGTTACCACGTGTACATGCATACAGCACAGTGACTGCAGCAAACTGCTGTGTTTTTCTTCTGTGATTTGGTGATGCTGGTATTGGTATCTGAGGGCCAAGTGCCTTTGGCACTCTATCATACTGCCAGAAACCTGGAAAAAGGTATGGTACTTATCTATGCATAGTTAAACATATATGCTGGACCTCTTAATGGATATCTGGATGGCTATTCTCACCAGCACGCTATTTAGTTGGTGATGTTCCCTCTCACTGAATACTTAGCAAATCTTCCATAGGTTCCCTCTACAACATAGAAATTGACATCTGCTACGTGTTAAAGTTTGAGATGTGCCCCTTAATTCATTGCTAATGAGCATCAGTGAGTCAGCACTTACCCAAGTCCAAGTGCATGCCCAATAGCACGCGGAAAGGCTTAGGCACCACAATGGTTGTGTTCCCAAAGTTGGTGAAGTACACCATAAGCAGTGGGAGGGATGCCATGGTGGGGAGAAGGAGTTTGTGACGCCAGCGTAGGTTCAAAACATCATCTGCAAAGCCCAGGAAAATCATGCAGCAGATGGCAAGGAGTGAGCCAATAAGCTCCACAAACTGCAGGACAGAGAACAGGGCTCCGGTCACTAATGTCAATTCCTTGCTAATGCCTGCTGTACTCCAGGCACGAGGAAGCCCTACCTCGTCGTGAGGAAAGGCCGTGCACTGCTCCTCTATGAAGCACCGCAGGAAGGGCACAGGGATGAAGCAGAAGAGGATGATGAGGAACACGGCCCCGCTGATCATACCCTGTGCCTCGGGGCTGAAAGGAAGGGGAGGCCAGCGGTCAGCTGAGACGTTGCGGGCCGGGGCCGGCCCGGCGGGCACCGCTACTCACATGGGCCGCCGGAAGGCCTTATTGAGGTCCTCGCCGACGAGGCGCGCTGCCAAGAAGTGGTCTTTGAAGGCCGGGATTAATGTGAGCGTGGCCACGAAACCCAGTAGTGATCCCCCGAGATTGATGAGGAGGGGCGCGGCCGGCCAGGCCGCCATGGCCGCGGCGGGCGCTGGCCCTGACAGGGGCGCGGAGCGTCTCTCGGCACACCTTGCTGGCCGGGCGCTAGAGTATGAGGCACCGGATACGCGCGCGCCTTTTCCGCTCGCTCCGTGAGGGGAGCGTCATCTTTGGCCCTGGCAATGGCAGTGGGCCGGCGCTATCTCTGTTCCGCCGTCGCATACGTCACTTCCTCCTTCCTCCCTCCCCACACCCTGCGGTAGGCGGGTGAGCCCCGATAGCGCTGCACGGGTCTTCTGGTAGTCCCTCAGAAGCGCGCTAGTGGCTTTGGCTTTTCGAGCGGCTGCTCCAGCACCGAGGGTCTCCCTGTCGAGCCCCGGCGTTTTGATGTGCTTCGCTGCTCTATGAACAGCAACTGCCGACGGCGGCAGGGCTCCTGAGCACGGCAGTCGCCTGGAGGCTATGCAGGGGGACTCGGTGTGCGGCCCTGGTGGACGGCGGCGCTGAAAAGAACCTTGGGGACTGGGGGTGGCATCGGAGGTGACCGTCAGGCGGTGGGAGCTCGCGGTGGGTGCGGCCGGGGCAGGGGGCCGCTGGCAGCGCTGTCCTCGCCCGCTGCACACCTGGTGGGGGCCGTTAATTGGTTTCCCAGGAAGCACCCTGAACCTGGTACTGCCTTCTTCAGTGAGAGTGAGCAACGGAGTGGCCCCACGGAGAGAAAACAAATGTTGGGGAGAAAAAATAAATAAATAAAAAATCCACGTTAGCTTGGGTCGTCCTGAGCCAGAAAAGCGTTACCATGTGTGTGGTCCTTGTGTGAGTGATCCTGGTTGAATGCAGGACAGGCATGGGTATGACCACGGCATTGCATTTGGGTGCAAGTCACTGAGCAGAGGAGGAAAACACAGTCGAGGTGAAAGACATAACAGCAGGACACACTCCTTCTGCTCTGTTTGTGTGGGATATGGTGACCTCAGATGGTTTCTGATGGCTTTTTCTGGGCTGATTAGAAAGCTGCTGCTGTATCAATAGACCTTTTCTGGTCTATGGTCTGTTGAATTTCTGTGAAAGTGAAGTATAGCTGAGCCTTAAATTCTAAGGCAGGCATTTGGTTCTGTGAGGAAAGAAACCACAGTGTGCACAAGGGAGTATTTGGCCAGAGAGCCTCCTGCAGCTGTGGAAATGCCACTGTGGCACATGTGAAACAAGGGGGGCACAGCTTTTGTTGCCGGCCCTCCTCGGAGAAGGTGACCCAGGGCAGGCAAGCAAATGGGCTCCAGCTGGGTGATAAGCTGTGGTCCAGGTGCGCTTGTGTCAGCACAAGTGAAGAAGGGTCAAGCAGAGATAAAGGTGTTTTCAATAAGGGGAAAGCCTTCAAAGAACTCATCCAGCAGCCCGTCTGTGCCTTGCTCTTTTAGGCCGCCAGCAGAAGTTCGTGGCAGCCAGCGACCAGGTTGTCATGAGAGAAAGGCTGGTGGCTGAGGACCCGCAGACCCGAGAGAAAAACTTGCACGCGGGCACCGGAAAGGAAAGCGGAGAACAGCGAGGTAGACACGTAACGCCAGGGCGCCGGCCAGGCCGCGGGGAGGCGGTGCTCCGGTACCGGAAGAACTCGGGCGGCTGCCTTTGGGGACGCAGTCGCCGCGCGCGGGTTGGGGTGGCTGTTGCGCGCAGGCGGGCGCCGGGCGCTGCAAGGGCCGGGCTTGGCCCACGTGCGTCGCGGAATCGGGAGCAGGGCGGCGCGCCGCGGCCCTCCTCTCCGTCCGTCTCTCCGGGTGGGAGGCGGTAACAGCTGGGCTGGGGCCGGGCGGCGGCCGCCCGCCATGCCTCCCGGGCTGCTGTGAGGCGCAACGCGCGGCAACATGGGGCCGGATCCGGGCTGGGCCGCTCTGGTGTTGCTTTTCGCCGCTTCGCTGCTCACGGTCGCGGCCTGGCTGCTCCAGTACTGGCGTTCGACGGCTCTGCGATCGCCGCGGCGGCAAATGCCGGCGACGGAGGAGGCCGGGGCCCGGGCGCTGCTCGCTGCGCTGCTCGCTCTCCGGTCCCTACGTGAGCAGTGGCAGCGGGCTTGGGTGCGAGCCCTCAACAGCCAGGCGCGCCGGCACGGGGTATGGCGGGGCGCGGGCGGGCGGGGCCAGGCACCGCGTCGGCGGCGAGGTGAGGGGCAATGAAGCCGGAGGTGTGAGGCCGAGGGGCTTGCGTCGGCTTCGGTCGAGGGAGGAAAGCCCCTCATCGAGCTCTTGGCTGTATAGTCTGGCCTAAACTGTCCAAAGCAAGCACTTTTTTGGCTGCTGCGTGTTGCTTTCTACTGCGCTTGAGGGATGGGGTGCTGATCTTATAAATAGCCATATAAGAATTTCATAAGCCGTAAGTAGAATATGGCTTATGAATCCCACAGCAAGTATTGTCAGGGAAGCTTACGTTGCCTGTTCAGGCCTTAGTACTTCAAGAACTTTGTTGTCTCTTGTTTCTACAGAAGGGCTACAGAGCGCTGATGACTGCTGTGTGAAAGAGTATTGTGTCTTGAGTCAAGTTTAGTTGTCAAAAGAAATTGGTAGAATTGGCCTCTACAGATATTGTGCTATTGTGGATGCAGGTGGCTTATTTGTAAAGGACTTCTTACTCCTGTTATATGGCTGATGTGTTTCCTTTCTAGATTATTTTTTTCTGCATGTTAGAGATCTGGGAATTGACTAATGGAATTGACTTGTTCCGAATGTAAACTTCCTTGAGGCTTGTCATACGTATGTTGTGTCTATCTGTTTTGAGGTGTACCAGTGACCCTGCTTGTAAAGCTAGGTATTCCTTATTGCTGCTAGTATTGACAGATTTGGTTTGTTGGAGCTGTTTGACTGTGCTAGTGAGACACCTGGTCTCTCCTCATCTGGTTTTACTTTTTTTAAGGAAAGAAAAAAAAAAACAGGAAGAAGAAAGAGGAAACAGCTGATTGTTTCATAGTGTTCAGTCATTTGCTTTTTCACTTTACGGTCTTTGTAATCTATGTGTGGCACCCCGTTTCATCTCTTCCTTGGCCTTGTTAGGTTGACTTGGAAAGGTTGGCCTAGTTTCTCATTCTTTGCTACCTGTGATAAGTGGAATTGTGCTTTGTTTTAATGGAGAAATGCTGCAGCATCTGGCCTCTCTGCCTTTGATCTAGTTGGTTAACATAATAAAATGGGAATGGGTGGTTATATCACTTTTCAGGCTCTGATGGTGTCAGAGAACAGATTATTCAGCAGTGTTTTTAGGATGAGCTTATCCTTTGACAGGTTTTAACAGTTAAAGTACTTTGTTCCTAAAACGTTTGTGGAAAAATAGGGCTTTTCACAAAGGTGTGGTAAACATGGTGGACATATGATTAAAGGTTGAGATGTCCATCAAATTATACATTAATGCCTGCCTTTGTGGACTTTGCTGCTCCTTCTCCATAAACTGTCTTCTCTTGTTTTCATTTATTGTTGTCAATTGATTGTACTTAGTTATTGAATATGGAGAAAATGAAAAGATGTTCCTTTGAAAATAAGGTAAGGAAGCTGTGGTAAAAATGAGACTGGACCTGTTGTTTGCGTACTGTTTCTTTTACTGTCTGCTCAGAACAAACTCAGAAACTTTCGTTGTAGTCCAAGAAAGTTGGCGAACAGTACCTTTAGAATACCGAGGGCAGGTATCATCCATGTTGCAAGTCTGACTTCTGTGACAGAAGTTAGGACTGATTGTGACCAACTGAGCGATATCCTTGATCTTACAGAAGGAGGTACAAAAAGAGCAAGAAGGTGTGCTGTATAAGGTTGCTGTAGGACTACCTGCTTTATTCTGTTGGAAGTGAATCTTTGGCCTGGAATTAAACAGGACTAGATTATGCACTGTAGGATTATGCTCTTGATAGTTACAATGGGTAAGATACAACAAACTTGATTTGATGTTTAATATGTCAGCTACTATAAAACTTTGTTTTACATCTGTTTCCTCTTCCTCGCTTCCCCCCAGTTCTGCAAGTAGCAGAGTTTAATGCTGAACCTGAGGTCCACATCCTGAAAAGGTGGTTTCTTTATTGAGGAAAACCAGAATGTTGAGATATGCTTGGTTTGTTTATTGTGTGGAAGCTGAAACACTGGATCCTGCCGGTGTTGAATCTATTAAGTCTGCTTTTTATTTTGTGACTGAAAGCAAGTTTGTTCTTGTATAGTATATGTAGCATTGAGGGACTTGCTGTCAGGACAGACACTTAAAATCATGGAATGGCTTAGCCTGGAAGTGATCTTAAAGATCATCAACCTCCATCTCTTTTGTCATGGGCAGGGTTGCCAGCCACTAGATCAGGCTGCCCAGGGCCCCATCCAACCTGGCCTTGAACTTCTCCGGGGATGTGGCATCTACAACTTCTCTGAGCAGTCTTTTTTAGTGCCCCACTGCCGTCTAAGTGAAGAATTTCTTCCTAAATTTTCCCTCTTCTAGTTTAAAGCCATTTCTTCTTGTCCTATCACTGCTAGGCTGTATAAAATGTCAGTCCCCCTCCAGCATATAAGCTTCTTTGAAGCACTAGAAGGCTGCTGTTTTTTGAGCCTGTCCAGGTCCCTTTGAGTGGCATCCCTTCCTACTATTCTGTCAGCTGCAACACTTTGGTGTCATTTGAACACCTACTGAGGGCGCACTCCATCTCATCAGCTACATAATTCTTGAAGATGTTAAAGAGTACCAGTCCCAGGATGGGCCTCTGGGAGGGACCACTCCTGACCAGTCACCAGCTGGACTTAGAGCCCTTGACAACAACAATGGCTACAATCATCCAAACAAGTCTTTATCCACCAAATAGTCTACCCAGAAGATGACGTTGCTGCAGTGAGTTGCTGTGGCTAAAAACAGTTCTCTGAAATAGGGCCTCAGTAGTATTCCTCGTGTTCAGATTGCCTACTCTGTTTTCTCCTAGTGAGCAAAGGGATAGGTTTCTTTAAGCAATGCCATCAGATCTTTATCGTGGCCTTCTGTTCTTTGCGAAATGTTTTCTGTGGAGGACTGCTGTTGTTACATGGGGAAATCCTTGAATGAGGAAGAGGGATACTTCCACGGTGAAGTTTGTAATCTGGTAAACCATGGAAAGGTGGAAAATGGGAGTTAGTCAAGCACATGAGCTGAGATGCTGTATGTTGGAGATAGATTTTATTGTTGGTAGTGGTTTTTGATTTTTAGTTGGGGTGAAATTGGCAGAGAGGAGAGAGAAGAAAAGCAAAGTTTTGGTGATGAAGAAGGTTTAACACACTGTCTTACAGTTAACAGGTATTCAGAATAATTTTGCATTCTCAATCAGGCTTGCTTGTCTGAAGTTAGTGCTTGTGAGGCTGGACCACTGTTTCATTTCTCTGTCTGGACAAGCCAGAATTGCAGTGTGACATGTTTGTGTGCTGGTTGGGTTCATGGAATTGGACTAGAATGTCTCTGGGGCCCTATGTTAGACTTGTTCATCCTCTTCGAAACTACCTGTGATACCTTGTCCACTGGGAACTAACGGAGTTCTCTTTTTGTAGAGTTCAGTGCAGATCACATTTGAAGAGGGTCCTCAGTTACCACCAGCAGCAAATATAAGCTGTGTGACGTGCAAAGGCCAGTCGGGTCACAGCATGGTAAGGCTTTTTTGTTCTGAATTGTGCCATGTTGGGTTTCTCTGCAGTCAGTCTTGTATGGGGATTGTCAATGCCCACGTGATGGGAATGGTAAACCTGGGGGAAAGTTGTGGGCTAGGTCTATAATTCAATTCAGAGATTGCAGCTCAGGGGCTATATGTTGGTGAACTCTTTGAGCAGTGGATGAGATCCATCTGATAAAGCTGAGTTGTAGGGATGCTGAGCCTGAATATCAGGGCACTGCAGTGCAGAGAAGAGTGTTTCTTTGTAAGTAATAGGTCTTTATTGGCTCATATATGGAGTCTTAAATGGCATATTTAGAGTGCAGAACTGGGGCTGGCAGACTGATGTTTCTGTCTTGCCTCAATAGGTTAACTTTACTTACTGCTTTTACAGATTTTGCCATCTCCAATCTGCGTCTCAGCAAGGATATAAAATTATCAATTTCCTCTTCTCTGTAGGTGCTGTGTTGTCATCTGTCAGCTGAAGCTGTGAAATTCCCTGTCTCTGTAACCCAGCAGTCTGCAGTTTCTGTTTCTGTGGACACATATCATGTCACTTTGACTCTGCTCCAGGCTGAGGTAATAGTTGTAAAATTTTTGTTGGTTTGCTTGTTCTTCTACGTAGCCTTATGCTGAAGGAGGAAGGGAGGACTTGATGTAGTGCAGCTGAAGGCCTTATTGTGCCAGAGAGAGTGCCAAGTTATTGCTACTGTCTGGTGGGGTACTAAATGTTTCCTGATCAACGTACAGAGTCCTGTTTTATGAGCACTGTTCTGCAGATCTTGAATATATAACATCATCTTAATAAAATCTGGGACCAGAGAGATGATGTATGGCAGTGTTCTATACTTGCTTTTAGAAGATCTTCGTGAAAACCAGAAGATCCACAGAATTCAAAACTCCTTGCAGTGTGATAAATAGGGAAAGATGTGTCCTGTGTGTATGTACAAATATTGTTTTGTCCTGTTATTGGTGTGAAAAAGAAATCCACTGTGAGGAATAGTTTACTTGCCAGGACTCCCCTTAATACATTCATTTTGTTTCTGTGTTGAATTCTTGGAGGTGGAGATGCTTTTCCCAGAAAAAGGAACTGAAATTGCACAGTTGCTTTCTGGTTGGGTTTGCTTCTCCAGAATTTCGTTTTTCCTTCAAGCAAAAGGATTTCTTTCTCTTGGTGGCATCTTCCTTGGATACTGCGTACTCTTTGGTGCTATTGGAAGAGATTGTAGAGTTAAGAGCAATTTTACAGTATGAGGCCAGGCTAGTCCCACGCTACTGCAGATATTACAATTGGAAAGTTGTTCTAGAATGTCTTTGCTCTCAAAAGCTTTAATAAAATTTTCTGTGTAGGTTTACCAGCTCTTGCTGGTTTGTTCTTGTGCGTACATAAGGGTTCTTCATTCCTTCTGAGTATCTCCTTTCCTTCCTTGGTGTTTAGTATGCTTGCTGCTGATCTCGTTGTAGCTGTTAATTGCCATCATTGTTCATCTTTCCTTAGTCTGTAGAGGCCAGGCTGAGACCAAGTCGCTTCTCTACTCATTGGAATTTTTCCTTGTCTGTGTCTGTTGAAGTTTTGATTTTCGTATTCTGACCATCAGACATACTTCAAATGCTTCTGTCCCAAATTTGTCTTGCCTTTTCTGTAAGCCTCTTGCCAGTTTCTTGTCTGGCTACTGTGTCTCAGATCTCTTAACTTTCAACTGAAGACTTTGTGTATTCTGGGTAAATAAATGTTCAAAAGCTGTTTCTTTTGGTTAGTTTTGTTGGACTGCGTTAAATTTTGTTTCATTGTTTTTAATAGAGGTCTTGAATTGGGAGTTCTTCCTCTGTCATTTCATTTGTGTGAGTTTGAATGAGTTTGCAGACCAAGGATGATTTCCTAGAGACTTTAGAAATGGTTCTACTTATGTTTGATGGTGGCTAACGATGTAGCTCCAAAAATACCCTGTATTAGTACCCAACTTGCTTTATCAGATTGTCCTGGGGGCTTTTTTTTCAGCCAAAGTAATAAGGTTTTTTTTTTTTTTTTCCTTTGATGTCTGGACATCCAATAGCAGTGAGGAAGCTGAATATGGAGTGATGAATATTCTGTAGCCGGTTACTCTCAGAGGCCCAGGACCACCTATGTTCTTCCTTGTTTTTTTATTGCTGCAGTAATGGGGAGGCCCTTTTAGTTGCTGGAGGTGAAGCAGGGCAAGAAACACCAAATGAAAACAGCATTTCTGACTGCATATTTGTTCTGGGTCAGGTGGAGATCCACTTGGAGGAGATACAGAATCAGGGTCTCCTGGTGTCATGGACGTTCAAGGACAGACCAGACTTGGATCTTTCAGTTCTTCCAAGACTTCAGCCTTGTGAGGTAAGCAAACAGGGAGGCTAGACTCAAGCAGAAGGAAGGGTGAGAGGGAGTGCCCAGCCATGAAGAAGGCTGCTGCAGAGTGCAGAGGTTGGCAGCTTGTTATTGTGGCCCTTTTTGAGTGAAGGAGAGGATTCTTTCACTCTGGAACCAGTACTAGCTCACCTGTGCTAAAGGAGTGCATTCTTAAAGAGAGCTAAAGCAGTTCTGATACCTGCTTTCTGAGTTTTGCATAACATCTGAACTCTGAATAGAGTCTACGTAGCAAAAATGCTTTCTGTCTATGTAGGTTCTACTGCTGTTGCCAACTGCGGAGCTGCAAAATGAGTTGGAGTATTTTATTTTACTTTTTGGACTTTTAAAGCATGCAGAACCCATGAGTATTTGTGGCTTGATGAGCTGAACACAGATGTGCTTGCAACTCAGGGTTGTGTGTGTTTTCGTGTTTGGTTTTTTTTTTTTTTTTTTGTTAGTTTTATTGAAATCCTTGTCTTATCCTTAGCGGATGTAGGAATTCGGCTTCTATGAAAGTGTGGTGGTAATGTTACATGATGTGGCAAGGATGCAGCAAGCCCTAAAGGCTTTATTGTCAGAATTTGCAACAGGGAGACTACAGATGTAAAGGGTCAGTTTATCTTGCTTATATAGCCTGTTTTTTGCCGGTAACTATTACAGCAATGATTAAGCACTGGAGAGAAGGTGTAGAGGACAGAAGAAGAGTATGTGGGAGGGTATTTCTGGGAGAAGGTCTGCTTTGCATCATAGAGGCTTGAGAGGCAGTTGCAGCTGTATGAGGAGAAAAATTGTCTGCCTCCTTATGACATTCCTGCATTTCCTTTGGATTTGTGGAGAGAAGAACGAAGGGAAAGCGGATCTGTCCACCATAAAGGATCTAATTGAGGATACTATTGTCAGCACGCAGCCAGCCATGATGGTGAATCTGAAGGCTTGCACAGCTGGAACTGGCACAGTAAGGTTCTCTTTCTGTAACATTCTCGTGCCTTGTATGCTGTGCCCTGAAGTGCTTCGGAGGGCTTAGGCTCATTTTTAGACAGCAGTCACATTCTTGACAATAATTGGGGTATTGTGGCACAGGGAGTGGGGGGAATTAGTGGGAGAGACCTTTGGCGTGTTGCCTTTGGTTTCCCCTTCTAGTAGTCAGAAAGCTCATTCCGATCTGTCTCTTTTCCTGTCTACCCTAAATTTCATGTCTGAAATGACATGGGGGTCCACCGAAGGTTGATAGTTTGTGGCATCTGCACTACCTCTAGATGACTCTGTGGATGTTCCCATGAGGAGCATTTGTGAGATGCAAGCACAAATGTTGTGTGTCTTACTGCTATCTGCTGAAAAGCAAATGGTAAGTCATCAGTCTTCCTCTCATGATTCCTCAGGTATCCAGCAGTAAGGTGACCCAAGAGTCTCCATACAATGTAGTAGAAGCCCCTCTGGGTTCAAAGCTGTTGATCCGGAATCTTCGTGTGCTGAACTTAGGCTCACAGAGGAGTGGAGGTAAATGTGAAAACACTGCTAAGCTGGAGCAGGGCAAGTGTGGAGGTAGCAAGGTTAGAGCAAGTGGATGTTTGTCTTGAAATGGAAATATGCATGTGTGCGCTCTGCCTTGCATTTACAGGTGCATACGTGCTCTCTTTCTCTGTTGCAGGAGTTGGGGAGATATGTTGTGTTGCAGAACTAGACAGTCCCCCACAGCAGAAATGGACAAGGCCAGTGAGAGCTGGTAGCGCTGGCATTGCTGCAGAGATGGAGTGGAATGAAGAGCTCTTTCTGTAAGTGTCTCCCACCCTCCTGGCAGGTGCAGTAAAGGCAGACTAGCATGACCTCTTTGTGGAGGTGATGTCTGCGGTGCTGGGTGGTGTATGTTCGTGCTGCTGGTTTGCTGGGCTGCAAATACTAGTGATTGGCCCCAGCTTGCATGCGTATTTCCTGCTTCCTTGTATGGCGCGTGTTTTAACTGTATGGACAGAAGTGCTGATTGCGTGTAGTACAGGGGCAGGACCACTTAAATTTCTAGACAGTTTTATTAACTTGCTCTGGAAGCTTATGCAGCCCAGCATGGAGCATTAACTTACGTTCTCCTCACCTTGCTGCTCCTTTTTGAGGCCTCCAAAACAAGGCACACATTCCAGAGCTTTGGAAAGGCGATTTGAGGAAAGGAAAATATTAAATGAACTTGTTTACTCTGCAGCATTTCTTCAAAGACTGCTTAATATCAGTTCTTCTGTCTCTGTTTCAACAGTGAGTTAGGACCCAGAAGTAAGGAGCTGAAGTTACAGGTGCTGGGGAACAGTGGCAAAGGGGAAGGTAAGTAAAGTATAGACAGCTAAAAAATGGATTCTAAGTTTTGTCATTCCATCTGCCTAAGGAACTTGCTGTGCTTTGAGCCTGTGATTCTTTGATGTTGGAATCATACGTTATAAATTCTGCAAGGGATTTCCATATCAAACTTTATATGAGTCTGTGTGTGAAGTACCTCTTGAGTCAGTTGTCCTTAGTGCGGGTCATGGGACCCTTTAACTTTCTTGCCTGGAAGCAGGGAGAAGGATGCAGAGACTTGTCCACGTGTATTGGAAGAACAGGGCAGAGGCTCTTAATTCTTTTTGACTTGTACTCAGAGTACAGACAATTGCATATTTTTGATGGAGGCTACAAAAATACAACTTATCTGACATCTATTTTTTAGATCAGCAAAGCAGAGCCTCCTCTGCTGAATCTGGGAACTATGGAATCAAGGGGATCTGCTTTGATGTCCCGTGGGTCTGGTTTCTAAAAGCAGATGGACCTTGGGAAAGGTCTGAGGTGCTGAGAAGTTGTGTGGTGTTTTGTTTTCCTTTTTCCTTTTGCAGGTGTGCTGCTGGCACATACTACTCTTTTGCTTGATTCTTTGGGCAAACAACCCTCTGGGAGACAGGTCTGCTCACTGGCCTCAGGAGCTGGGCAGCCACTGGCAGCTGAAGCTACCATTGTATTAGAGGTGAGCTGATGACTTCATAAGCTCTGTGAGTGCATGTTCTAGAAATATTTGTAATGTGAGACCATAGCTGGAAACCAAGGTGATTAGGTCTGAGGCTGTTGCAGGGGACTAACAGAGAATGAGAATGTGTCACCTCACCTTAGTCCCTGAGCTTCCCTTCCATTCAACAGATGTTGCAGTGAGGATGGCTCCTTGGTGTCCAGAGTGGTAGCTTTTGTTGTTTGTATGCCTGCTTTTCATTTTGGGAGGAGGGTAGTCCCTTCTGAGCTGTGTTTTATTCTTTGTAGCTTTTATACCAGGATTCTTCTGCATCTCTGAATGCTCAGCATGCCACATCTCTGCATACCAGCATCACCCCCACAAAGAAGGTGGAGATGGACCGGACCATCATGCCCGATGGCACCATTGTGACTACTGTCACCACAATTCAGTCCCGACCCAAGGTGGATTGTAAGCTGGGTGAGGCTGCACTGAGATAGGAGTCTTGTACAGCTGGCTGTTCGGACACCGAATGTTGGGTTTGCTGTGGACTTGTATCTTAAGTATGAAGTGGGTGGATGGTGCTTTTGCAGGAAGTACTGTGGGGAGGGAACTGACGTGTTGATGTATCTCCTATATTTGGAAAGAGATATCAGAGGGATGAGCCTCTCTGACATTGTTTGAGGATGGGATTTCTGCACGATGTTGGACTAAACATTTTGGCTTACTCTGTTTTCTTCACTGCTAAACGAGTTGTGCTCTATGTACTGAATACAGGCCTGAAAACCCGTTGACCTTGCTTGCCAGTTGTTGCTGCTTGCAGTCTCAGCCTGATGTCTTGGTGAATGTAGCGCAGGCTATTTAGTGAGGTAGGGTTGGGAAACAGCACAAACAAGGGCTCGTGACAAGGCTGCTTTGTGTGTAATTCCAGTTAGCTTCTTACTACTTGACTGCTGCAAAGCCTCATATTGGCAGCTTCTGCAGACGTTCTGTGTGTGTGTGTGTGTGATGCTGCGTGTGAAGGGGGCTGTGAGAATGTGATGAAGCTGCTTGAATTTCATGTCCACTTACTTTTGTCTCTGTGTCTCTTCCTCTCATTCACTATGAAGATTCACCTTCAAGGTCACCATCCAAGGTGGAAGTGACAGAAAAGAAGACAACAGTGCTTTTGGAAAGCAGCTGTCCTCACAACTCCTTGTCCAGCAGCAGCCGTAAGTGCTTGCGAAACCGGGCTTCTTACTGGAGCAGTGATATTTCTTAGCCATTCTCAGAAAGCAGCTATCTGAGTGAGAGTTGCTGAACTCATCTGCATTTGCTGCAGAAGAGAAAGTCCAAGTACCTAAGGGAAGAAGAGGAATAAGGGACAGGAGGGCGGGAAGTGGAAGCAAGTGAAAGAAATGCTGCTGTGGCTCTCTCATCTGCTAATCTGAATATTTCCTTATCTGACAAAAACATCTCCAGAGTATCTGAAACCAAAGAAATCTGCTCATGCTGTATCTCTGTACTTGGTGTTTCTCATTGTTTCTGGGACAGGGTGCTTAGGCTCTTTGGATGCTTTGTGGCCAAGGCTGTGTAACCTCTTGTAAGTCTTTGGAAGTTCTTTTTAAATGGGAAATAGGAAAGGTATTTTAATAATGCGCCTGTTGGGAAATCAAGCTTAACAGGTGCCTAAAAGAGATGAGAACTCTGTGGAGCATCCTTTCTTTAATTTCTTTGAGCAAGTCTATAATAAATACTGCTATGTATTGTAACATACATGCAGTAGCCCATTAAAAGCATCATGGTCAGTAAGTGAACTCTTGCCTGTGCTGAAGGATGCTACTTCAAGTGTTGGTATCTTTCTTGTGCTCAGGGGACAGCCAGATGCCCAATGGCTTGGATCCGGTGGCTGAGACGGCAATCAGGCAGCTAACTGAGACAAATAACAAGCCCACCAAGAAGACCCCAACAAAACGTAGCACGCTGATCATCTCAGGAGTTTCCAAGGTGTCTGGCAGTTAGAGGTCTTCATTTTCATTCTGGGAGGTTGTTTCTAGGAATGTGTGTGTGAAACCACCCTGTCCTGTAGGGAACGGAAAGATCCCATTGCAGGAGACTTGCTCAGCAGAACCCTTTTGCAGCTTGTTCTTATTTCCCAGCAAGCATCAAGGTTACCTGATTAGTCTGCAGGGCAGCTGCCATGGGAAGCTCATAAAGCATGGCAGGAGAAGAGGAAGCAGTTGATGTAGCCAATTGGGAAACCTCATGGAGAATCTGAGTTATCCTGGGACTTTCTTATGGGAGTGAAGGAAGTATTGCAAAATGTAGTGGAATCAGGTATCTTCCAGTATGTTTCAGCAAAAAAATAAATGACCATTGTATGTCTGTCCTTTCTAGCATGGATGACCAAAACTGGAGATAAATGCAACGCTTTAGATCTTGTCTTCCTGTCTGACCCTCTAACATCCTCCAGGTACCTCTTGCTCAAGATGAAATGGCACTTTCTCTGGGTTATGCTGCATCCATGGAGACCACAGTATATGGGGATATTGGGGCAGTCTGTGCATCTGACCAGGTGCATGATTCCACTGAATCATCACAGCTGCTGGAAGCGTCACCGTCAGAGCAAAGAGCAAGTCAGGAGCTGGATGAGACGACACGATCTGACATCTCTGAGAGACCGTCTGTGGAAGATGCTGAGTCTGAAACCGGTTCCACAGGAGCCCTTGAGACCAGGAGCTTGAAAGATCACAAAGGTGAGGGTGAACTGTTGACCAGTAGCTAACATCAGCTTGTCCCTGAGGAAGAAGTGAGACCTTTGCAGCTTGCATATTCCCAAGACAGCGTTTTGGCCTCTGAGTTTTCAGATCAGACACATATCTGTCAATAGTGATTCTTCCTCTAAACTCTGCTGCTGTGGTGCAGAGATGGAGATTGTGTGGACCTGGATACGCTCTGTTTTCTCCATTACCATCAAAGTAGCTAGCACCTCTGGCCTGCAGTACTATAGGATGTCCCCATAGACTCCCAGCTTTTAAACAGTGAAGGGTAGGTCTGCCATGACTGAGCTACTGTTCTGGAATATCCAAGTTTGTGTCAGTTGGGCAGACTGCATGACTTGGATTAGTTTGCTTGAAGCCATGATCGTTTCAGCTTGCTACAAATTCCCTAAGTAAAGACAAGCCAATAATCTGTTTCTCAGAATTGTGTTGGTCTTTTGTTTGCATGTCAGGTGAAAAAGTATCTGGCCCAGATGCACAAGAGACCTGGTGAGCTGGGAAAAGAAGGAAGAAAAAGAAAGAATCATAGAATTGCTCAGGTTGGAAAAGACCTTAAAGATCAAGTCCAACCACAACCTAACCATATTACCCCAACTCTAACTACCCTCCGCTAAATCACATCCCTGAGCACCACATCCAAACGTTTTTAAACACATTCAGGGATGATGACTCAACCACCTCCCTGGGCAGCCCATTCCAGTGCTTAACAACCCTTTCAGTAAAGAAGTTGTCCTGATATCCAGCTTAAACTTCCCCTGGCACAACTTGAGGCCATTTCTCCTCGTCCTGTCACCAGTGAGAAGAGACCAGCCCCGCTCTTGCTGTAATCACCTTTCAGATATGGGAAGGGAGCCATAAGGTCTCCCCTCAGCCTCCTTTTCCCCAGACTCAACAGCCCCAGTTCCTTCAGTGTCTCCTCGTAGGCCTCCAAGCCCTTCACCAGCCTTGTTGCCCTTCTTTGGACGTGCTTCAGCATCTTGAGATGCTGAAGATGCACAGGATTATATGTTCTTTCTGTACTGAGGTCCCCAAAACTGATTGCAGAGTTCACCAATGCAGAGTTCAAGGGCAGGATTCCTTCCTAGTCCTGCTCGCCACACCATTCCTGATACAAACCAGGATGTCAGTGGCAAAGAACCCCACTATCTATAGAAAATACTGAATAATGGGCAGGTTTTGGATATGCCTTTGTATTCCCTTTTGGGGCTGTCAGTGAGCAGCATTTTCATCCTGTCCTGCCTCTCTGTGTCTTCAGGAAACATTGCTGTTTTTTTCTTCCAGATTTGCGCATATTGTGAAACTGCAAACAGTTGTGCTGAGAGTTTGATGACCAGCTAATCTAGATGCCCATAAGATGGGCTAGCCCAAGAAGCCTTTTCCCTGTTGTGTGTTGCTGTGGATATCTCCACACTGTGATATTCCAAGTCATTTTCCATATCAGTCTTAAATTTAATTTAGAGTTCTCCGTGACTCCCATTGAGTAGACGGCTGTGTAAAAGGAAGCTTATGTACAGGAGGTGTGTTTTTAGGAAAATAGCTTTGTATTGCAGTCTGTGCTGAATCTGGACTTTGCCTTACAGTTGGAAGTTAGGACTTACTTGACCTGTGTGCTTTTGCTGATTGGAATGATGGCCTCTTGTTTGAGAGTGGCCAGATAACAGTGTGTATTTGTTGTCCCAGAGACTTGCCAGGGCAGGATACCATCATGATTGCCATCTCCTTCCTGTCTTTGCAGTTAGCTTTCTTCGGAGTGGTACCAAACTCATCTTCCGGAGAAGGAGCAAGCAGAAGGAAGCTGGCCTCAGCCAGTCACATGATGACTTGTCCAACGTCACCACTAGTTCTGTCACCAAGAAGAAAGCTGGCAGCTTCTCCCACCGCCTCATCAAACGCTTCTCCTTCAAGTCTAAACCCAAACCTAAGACTAGTGACAACACAACAACAGGTGAGAACTGAATGAAGGAGAAGCCAGCTGGAAGGATTCAACAGAAATTGACTTCTCTTCTCTCGTCTTTCCACTCCACTGGTACCTGTGACCTGCAGTCCAGTTCCTTGCAACCTTATCTGAGGGAAGACACCTTGGTACTTGACACTGTCTAGGGAGCGAAGGTGGTGAACCCAGGGCTGAGACTGCTTAACTGTCTTTGCTCGGCCTTCTCTGACTGTTATGCTCTCTCAAAAAAAAAAACTAGCTGATACGCTAATCCCCATTGGGGTCCCGGGACCTGCAGAAGTGACTCTGTGTAGCTGTCTAGCTTCACCAGATGTTTCCTTGAAAGAGAGGGGGATCTTTCAAGTGACAGCCTTACTTAAAAAGTGAGAAACTGCTAAGGTATCTGCATTTTTCAAGAGCTGTGGGTTGTAACCTTGTGGAATTCTGATATTGAGAAACAATAACCTTCCTGAATTCTGATATTGAGAAAGGATGGTGTGGTCATGAGCCATTCACCTGTTGCTCTTGCTTGGTGCAGAGGCTTGTTGCCTGACTGAGATGTGTGATGCGTCGTGGGGTGGTGCATTCCTGGCCTAAGAGCTGTGAGCAGAATGAGATACTATTCCCCTATTGGAATGGCTTTTGGTTCAGAGGGTGCTGAGGAAGCCTGCTTTCTGCGCTCTACTGATGAAGAAAGGTGTCTCTAAGGACAAGGAAGTCTTAAGAACTAGGCAAGTTTTCTGTAGAAGACGGAGTCCTTACGAGGTTTGGTTGCTGCTCTTGGTGCTGCCACCTGGTGACACAACCCTCCTGTATTTGTGTTTTGGAGTGGGGAAGAGACCTTGTTGCATGCATGTACCAGCTGTCTTCTGTATGAGTGGAACCCTTTTCCTTGTACGTAGCTGGGGCTTCCCCAGTGTTCTGCTGGAAGATGGCAGAAGCTGTCATCTGGTTCTGCACTGTGCGTGGCCTCACTCTCTATCAGCCCTCACACCAATGACCAATATCGTGCTGGAGTTGGACAAGTGAAAAATGTGGCAATACAAGCAAAAGAGCAGTATGATATGAAACCTCAAGCTGTGTGGTGACACAAGTGAGGAGCTTACATGGTTTCACAGAGGAAAGTATAGAAGGAGCCTTTCTTGATGGCATTTGATACTCTCCTTCTTCCTAAAAATATCATTTTCTGTGTTTCTGGAAGCGTTTTTGCAGTGGGTGTTTCTTGCGGGAGAAGTGCTTGGGGGAAAATCAACTTGCTTGCACAGGAGTAAACACTGCCCTTCCAAATGAATGTTTTTCTAGTCTCCTGAGATGCATGCATTATGGATATTTGCAGAGGCCCGGTTTGGATGAGTGTTATAGCACTTCCTGAGGAAAATGATAGTGCCCCGTCAGAGTAGATGGTTTGAATGTGGAAGCTCTTTCTGTTCTGTGGGTTGTGGAGTCAAGGAAACAGAGCAAAAGGGAGGAGAAAAAGCCTCAGAAGAGAGATCATGTAGGCCTGGCTGAGTTTTCTAGCTGCTCTTTTCTGTTAAAATATATTTTGAAACTATCTGTGACACGGTGCATCGTGTCAGAAGGACAAAACCTAGGTTACTGATAAGTCCTTGTGCCATTTCTGGGGACTGCAGTGTGCTTGGTAAGTTGCTGCAAAGAGATCTATAGGTAGGAATTTAGGGTGTGTCTCAAAAGTATCTGAAAGTAGGGAAGACCAGAGTCACTTAGGCTTGGATTTTAAGTGTTGATGTGTGCTAAAAGAAAGGACTCTAGTTTTCAATCTGCTGATTCGTCGCAAGGTTGAATGTACCTCTTAAGTTTGACTGTTCCAGCTGGCTGACCAGGAAATTCTCTATTTTTCAAGGTCTGAAATTTTTGCCATTCCCCAGTTCTTTTGTATCTTGTCTCTGTTTTT